AGGGATCGGGATCAGGGATTGGGATCAGGCTCAGACTCAGGGATCGGGCTCAGACTCAGGGATCGGGATCAGGGATTGGGATCAGGCTCAGACTCAGGGACTGGGATCAGGCTCAGGGATCGGGATCAGGGATTGGGATCAGGATCAGACTCAGGGATCGGGATCAAGGATTGGGATCAGGTTCAGACTCAGGGACTGGGATCAGGGATTGGGATCAGGCTCAGGGATCAGGATCAGGCTCAGGGATCGGGATCAGGGATTGGGATCAGGATCAGACTCAGGGACTGGGATCAGGCTCAGAGTCAGGGCTGGGGCTCGGAATTCCGTCCTTGCCTTCCTCGTTGTCCCGCTCCGCTTTCCCGGGCTCTCCCCCCCTCCGGGCCCGCTCCTCGTCCTCGTGCTGCTTGTGCTGGATGCGCAGGAAGAGCGCCCGCTGCGCCGACGGCAGGAACTCGGGAATGCCGGGAATGCCGGGAATGCCGGGGCCCTTCCCCAGCCCGGGGGGGCCCTCGCAGAGCCCCTCGGGATCCAGGGAGGGGTCCGGGAACAGGGGATCCCCCCCCGGCCCCTCCAGGGGCTCGTACCCGCCGTAGTCGTCTGGGAAAGGGAAAGAAATTCGGGATGAGAAAGGGTTTGGGATAAGAACGGGGATTTGGGAGGAGCCATCCCGGTTTTCCCACTGTCGGAGAGGGCTCACAGAGCACCTCGGGATCCAGGGATGGATCCTGGAACTGGGGATGGATCCTGGACAGGGGATGGATCCTGGAACTGAGGATCCCCCCCAGGGGCTTGGAGTCGTCCAGGAAAGCGAAGGGGGGGAAATTTGGGATGAAGGTGGCTTTGGGATGAGAACAGGTTTGGGATAAGAACAGGGATTTAGGATAAGCACAGGGATTTGGGATGAGCTATTCCCAGTTTTCCTGCTGCTGGGGGGGGCTCTCAGAGCCCCTTGGGATCCAGGAACGGATCCTGGAATATCAGATCCCCCCCCCAGCCCCTCATAATCATCTGGGAAAGAGGGGGAAATCCGGGATGAGAGGAAGGATTTGGGAGAGGTGGGATTTGGGATGAGAAGGAGGATTAGGGATGAGAAAGAGCATTTGGGGTGAAAACATGGATTTGAGAGAAGAAGAGGGATCTGGGATGAGAAGCAGGATTTGGGATGAGAAGGAGGATTTGGGAGGAGCATCAGAGATTGGGGATGAGGAGGATTTGGGATGAGAAGGAGAATTTGGGATGAGAAGGAGGATTTGGGCTGAAAACACAGATTTGGGAGGAGCAGCAGGATTTGGGATGAGAACATGGATTTGGGATGAGCAGCAGGATTTGGGATGAGAACATGGATTTGGAAGGAGCAGCAGGATTTGGGATGAGCAGCAGGATTTGGAATGTTAAGAAGGATTTGGGATGAGAACACGGATTTGGGCTGAGCAGCAGGATTTGGGATGAGAAGCAGGATTTGGGATGAGAACACGGATTTGGGATGAGAAGCAGGATTTGGGATGAGAACACGGATTTGGGATGAGAACACGGATTCGGGATGAGCAGCAGGATTTGGGATGAGCAGCAGGATTTGGGATGAGCACACGGATTTGGGCTGAGCAGCAGGATTTGGAATGTTAAGAAGGATTTGGGCTGAGCAGCAGGATTTGGGATGTTAAGAAGGATCTGGGATGAGCACACGGATTTGGGATGAGCACACGGATCTGGGATGAGCACACGGATCTGGGATGAGCAGCAGGATTTGGGATGAGCACACGGATCTGGGATGAGCACACGGATCTGGGATGAGCAGCAGGATTTGGGATGTTAAGAAGGATTTGGGC